GGAACTTGGGAAAAGAGAACTGCTTTCAAGCGGGGCTCAAGGAATTATTCGTTTCTGTACGTTTGTTATAATCAAAGCTACCTCAAAGCAGCATTTTTGCTGTGTTCCTTGTGCGCTGGTTCACGGAAGAGATAAGGGGTATCAGATGATTACGCTACTAGTCTAATCTGTCTTCCCTACCCCTTCTTTTGGTATGAGTAATGGAATATTCCACGCTGGAACAACGGACATTAGACTCTGGGCATTAGACGGTAGCACTGGAACATTCTTTTTCGACATATGCCTGCCACCGTCAAGACAAATAAGCATAAATTAGAGCCAGTAATCTCGGATGGTGCGAACCCTACATAGCTGATGCTGCTGTATTCCAGTAATATTGCCAATCCGTATAGTCTAGGCGGTCTTGGTGACTTCTACGATATACTTTTTTTAATATACTTTTATACTTTTTTTTTATGTACTTTTTTAATATAATTTTTTTTCAGACATTGCGTAATCTGTTTTACGCACTTTTCACGCTAATCATGGAATTACTGGACTGTTGGTCATGCTTCCGTCTGGATGTAAGCTTCCCTCAGTTTTTATGTTTTTTTTTTTTTTTTAGCGGACTTTTTGTGCCCGTTCGTACCCTGTTATTCATCAACAGCCTTGATAGCACTTGATTACTGTTGGCACTTGCTAATACTCGGAATACTTTTGAGTATCTGATTTTCGTAGCAAACGAATGATTTCTGGCGGTTCTTGATGTGTTTTTGACATTTGCAGCTAATTGGGACAAGCTTTTTTTCTCCGTAGAAAAGCTGCTTTTTGATGAACCGTTGTTTCATCAAAATACCCCTATGCATCATCGTTGCAGCTTGTTTTTCTTGGGTTTGATGCAGCCTGGAATCGACAAGTGGTCAACCCGCTGTTGATAGTCGTAGAACTCATTTTCTGGCGTCTTTTTTCATAGAAAAGTGATGGACTTCTTATTTGTTCTACTTGTGTCAGTTAGCGTTAGATTATCGAATGTTTATTCGATTTTAAAATTCTTGGCACTGAAATTTTTCCTTTTACTTTTTGAATTATCGTACAGGCGAACGATGTAAGTGAAGCACGAAAACGTTTTAATGGATACCAGAAGGCTGTGATTGTGGAGGATTTACAAGACGTACACTATTTTGAGCGAGAAGAGGAGCGAATTCATTTGGAAGAGCTTCAGCAATGCTTAATGGATTGCTATCGACCAAAAATCGGGATGATTAAATCCAAATTTGCGGTTAGTTAATTATCTCCCCATTTTGTACCATTCTCAGAGAAAACTGAGGTGGATAAGGAGAACTTCTAGAGTTCAGGGAGTGTGAGTCTTGGTGGAGGAGATGAAATTTCCAGTCGAGTTTATCTTCAAGCTGATGTCTTTATCTGTTGAGGACCAAAACCACGAATTTTTTTGCTCTTTTGGTAAATTGATTGTGTCTGTCCAGAACCGTAGAGAGTAAGACTGGAACATCAGTTGGAAGGGAACAATCCCTAGTAGATCCAAAACTGAGTGGTTGCAGTTGAGAAAATATTATCACTATTCTCAGTATGAGTGAAATACGAAGAAACCACGTGGTTTCTTCTTAAGAGTGATAATCGGTGCTGCCTTAGTAATATTGGTAATTTCACACGGATATAAAATCTGATCTGTTGTCGATCGGTACGCACTTGTGTCAACAAGAAAGCGAACACGAAACTTTAAAAGCAGAGATAAAACATGTGAAAAGTCTGATGAATTCCTCGCAAAAGATAGCGTTAGCCACAGTCAAGCTGTAGCTCTACTAAGCATTAATAACTGAAAAATTTTCAGCTTCTTATGCGGGACATACTGAAGGTTTTAGCGAAGCCAGCATACTCCAAATATCGATTGTTCCTCAGTGTGCCAGCTGGATCTTTTTGATTTTTATCGAAACTTTGGCATTTCATAATTGTGGATCTCAATTTATTATTGCGAATCGCCTTTCATACAAATTTGCAATAATTACATGGCCTTTTTATTGTAATATCATTGTTTATTTTACAGCGATTTTATGCGATTTTATGCGATTTCTGAACTTGAGAGCTGTAAAATGTGCTTTAATTTTTACAAATATAAAGTGAAGTGTGTTGATTGTATTAAAAATATAGATTATACATTTTCAGCTGAAATGTTATGTGATTTTGTGCCTCCCATTTCTTTCACTTCCAATTTTATGCTGATGAAATGTGCTTCAATTTTTCAAATACAACGTGAAATGCGCATAATTCATTAAAAAGTATGAACTGTATATTTTCGGTTGAAATGTTGTGTGATTTTATGCCTCCCATTCCTTTTATTTTCAATTTTTTGCTGTTGTCAACGATTGTCAGGCTTTTTTTTTCGAATGCTTCAACCTCCCACTGAGAACAGATGCCGAAGGAGTTTTGACTTTTATTTGTTTGTAGTACTGGGTTTTTGAAAAATCTTTCCTCTTGACCGATTTTTTGTAGCAATTAATGATGAATTTCATGAACGAGGTAAATTATAATTTATCATTTAATACGAGAAATTAAAATCCTAGCAGAAAGCAACGACATTTACCTGAAAACGAAGTTCCCGTGCATCCCAGAAATATCATGCATCTGGCTTTGATAGTTTCTGCAGTCAATAACAGTAACTTTGAAGCAGCAGAAGCGGCCTCATGTTTTTTGTATTGTACAAATATTTTTTTTTACTGTGTCGTTGCATTGTTCCTTTTATACAAATTTTTTGGCTTGACATGATTGTGCCTGTCTTTAAACCTCATGCGGTCTGTGTATGTAATTTGTATATGTTTATCTCATATCTGCAAATCCTACATATCATTATGTTCCAGTGACGTACCACAAAGGAGGAGGGAAAGATGGAAGGCGAAGGAGGAGGGAAAGACCGTTCTTTCTCCCGCTTTCTGCTTTTGGTCATTTTGCTTAAAGGAATTATATTTTACGGGTATGAGAGTAGCTTTCGCTTACGGGAGGGGAAAAGGAGGAGATGAGAGAGAAATTAAGGTGATTTTCCCTGACCTTCCTTTGTCACCATCCGTTGTAAGCTGTGTCCTGGACGTAAGCTGCTTTTCAGAACTTTTATAGTGTAGCAGCTTTCTTTTTTGGTAGGCGGTTTTAAGAAATGCCAGAAATTATTTGTATCCCAGAGGCCGATTCATCTTCCGCTCCTGCTGGGGAAAAAAAAGTTTACGGGCGTCACTGGTGTTTTCTAAGAAGTCTTTGATCAGTTTTATGTTCTCACTATCGACCAGGATGTGTTCTGCAGATAATAGGAGCAATTTTGTTAAGGCTCCGGAATCGTCGCTGTGTTCTGTGGGAATTCGAAATTTTTGCTTTATTCAGTTCTACTGACATTCCATTTGTTCACTGCATCTCTTTGAAACTTTTGTTGCAACCACAATTTTTCCATATTTTTTTTGTTAATAAATTCTGAAGTTGATTGCGAATTTCATTTAAGCTTCTGCAC